TTCCTTGTATCTTGCCCAATTCCGTCGCACATCCCCCCACCTATTGGCTAATGGAAATGGAACTAATAGTTTCCAGCATTAGTGGTGAGGTTTATATTCACCCATCTGCAAAAGCGCATCCTTCTGCAAAGGTAAATTTTCACCTCCCATTATTTGACTGTTAACTAGAAGGAATCTTGACTTTCACGGTCATGTCAGTCGCTCTGTGCTTGTAGCCACGATAGTCCCAATTTTTCACGTTTTTATTAATGGCTGCCTTATCTGTGGCATGAGCATCCATTGGTTAGGGATCTTTTGGTTGATGCACATTATTTGTGTTTTGCAACTTCTTTAGTTAAGTCATATGCCATTTTGGCCCCCCAAAAAAAAAAAAAAAAAAAAAGTCGGATGTTGCTGTTGCTGACATTCAAAAATAGAATAATGGCAATAAGTTACTATTTAAGTGTTAATTCTTTTTCCATTAAACTGTACATATCTGTGCCCACAAGAACTCTTCCTTACAGGACATTACTTGGTTTGTAACCCTCATTATCCTAGAAAAAGGTTATTTATGGCCAACCATTTTTTAGGCTGCACGTAAAGAGAAATTAATTCTTTCTTTATCTTCAAATTGACTCATATAACTATGGTTGAACAGATTGGCCCGAATGTATCAATATCTGCAAATGCTCGTATAGGAGCTGTGCAAGGCTTATTAGTTGTATTATCCTCGATGGTGTTGAAATTAAGGCAAGTGTAAACCTTCATTGGTTTTGAAACGCACACGTAGTTTTTCCTATTCCTGTGATTATATGTTTTTTTTCTGACAGGAAAATGCGGTTGTCAGTCATGCCATTGTTGGGTGGAAGTCCTCCATTGGAAAATGGGCTCGCGTCCAGGCAAGTTCAAAAATTGTAACTATAAAGTTAAATGTTCTGTTCATAAAGGACATGCATTTTTCCCTCCCTATTACTGTTAATATTCTCAGGGCTGCCTGTTGCATAGACACACTTTGAGTGATGCAGTCTTGGAAAATGGAAATCCATCTGTATGACAAGTTGTTAAACAGACTCCTTTTTGGAGTATAACATAGTTCATTAATTCTCATATCATATACAATTAAGCATAGTCTAACTTCCTAGTACGCAAAGACACTGTTCAATTTCACTTCTGGATAATCCTTGGTTAATTCTACCATATATTATTGCAATTTGTTTACTAAATTAAACCAACTAATGTTCAGGCTAGTGGAGATTACAATGCAAAACTTGGCGTCACAATTCTTGGTACCTTTTTCGAACCTTCTATGGATATTCTTTCTTTTTTTGGTTATAAAGGACCATAACTAGAGCATTTATATATTTTACTTTGTGGCAACTTTGTTTGCATGTTGCATCCAGGTGAATCTGTTATTGTAGAAGACGAGGTTGTGGTTGTTAATAGCATCGTTCTTCCTCACAAGACCCTAAATGTGGGTGTTCAAGATGAGATACTCTTATAGGTCCTCCTCACAAGACTCTGTTTGATTCCTTATAGTTGTATTTGCTTTTTATTATTGTTATTATTACTAGTGGGTGACAGTTCCATGTTGGAAGCCAAGGACAGAAAATGTAGCGTGCTATTTATTGCGTTTGTAAAGTGACCTTTATTGATCAAGCTGTTGGTTGATGAGCATGGACACTACTAATTGGTGTTCTAAAAAAGTGCACTGTGCTATGCCGTTTAAATTCTCCAAACCAGTATCCCCGAGAAAACCGTTTTCCCAGAGAAATGTAATTAATAGCTGTTATAATAACCCCTTTGGTTATTAATTTGTAATCATATTTTGCATTAAATGCTAAATATAGTCTTGAAATTCACATCATCAAGTGGGATATCAGACTATTCAAGGGCAGAGATGGGTAGGTCATTCAAGAATTTGAAAGACGGACATAAAATTGCCAGAGCATTTCGAAATTGTGGGAGACTAACTTTTTTAATTAGACTCAACTCTTTCCCATTAATTGAAAGAATCAATGTTGAAGTAACTTAGTTATTACTATGAGCTCATCACAATGAAATAACGACTTCTCAGTAAAAGAAACAAAAGGTTATCCATCAATGACTTCTGGACATTAATCTCAAAACTAGTTAAAAAATTAGGTGAAATTAATTATTTTTCATAAAATTTTAAAAAGATTTTTAATAAAAGTCATTAATTAGAGAGGTTTGGTTAATTAATTAAAAAATTTACAATTAATTTAGAATAAGTGTAAAAAATAATAATTTAAACAAAACATAAATGTAAGATCTTTATTGCAATGCATCCTAAGTATATATATTTTGAGTATTTATATAATTTTGAGTTATGTTGATCGTGTATTTTGACGGTATTAACAGCTATCGTTTTTTTTTAATTAATTTAAATGTGAGTAAATAAGTGAGGGTTCTTATTTGATAATCCTGAGGGGGAATTTTACATTGAAATTTCCCAGTTCGAGTTTGTGAATTATATGGGAAAAGAGAACTAACAAAGATTGTTACCAGCATAAGTATTAAGATACACGTTGGTAAAAAAAAAAAAAAGATAGATACGAGCTTTTTTTGGGGTCCAAATTAGATACTAGTTAAAGCCGCAATCATGTCAAATTTTGATAGGCAAATCAAACTTTGGACCATATTCTTTGGCAAACGCGTGTAATTTATCAAGTCTTAACCCCCAAAATTTTATCCAGCATTTGTTATTAATTTATTTCCAACTGAAGCCTTTTTTTTTTTGTTGTTGCGCCAACTGAATTCATTTTATTACTAAAAAAATTTTACAAAATTGCAAAAGTTCTAAAATTTATCAGTCTTTTTACAATGTTCGCTAAAAGTTCTTTCGGTGCAGATTATTTTTGACCGAAATTTAGACTAGTATAAGGAAGGAAGTTGGCTTTTCTCTTTGTAATTGCTTCACAAACTAGAGGAAATGCTTGGGCTCAAACTTCCCAGAACACTAATCATTTAACATAAAACAGCTAAAAATGCCACTATATAGAATAATATCACCCAAAAAAAAAAAAAGAACGAAAAAAGAATCACAAGAACTGCCTTAACTGATCCTAACTAACTTCAATTTTGCAGAAAGATCTTTAACAATTTCTTGATGGCAGCTCTATGCTGGCGCACGGAGAACATGCATTTCCAACATTAGATTCTCCTGAGAAAGATGTACCTCGTTATTTGACTACACCGAACAAAAATTACAAAATATGGATGGGCCTCTTGCCAGCGACTTCTGAGTACCATGATTTCCATGCTTCCATGTAATGACTGAAGAGTTCTCTCAAAGCTGCACGATAAGGATTTCATATCAGACATCAAATCAGTTGAATATTCAAGAATATATCGGTATCAAATCCATTTGACGTCGAATAAATAACGCCAATCAACTAAGAAATCAATCTTCATTACTCAGGAGTGGGCAAGTGGCCATCGAATAAGTTAAGAGCCACCAAGCAATCACATGATCCATGACTATTCTCAGTTTTCCTCATGAATCTAGAACTGATATAGCCCTAGGACAGATGGATCTAAGCAACTTCCCAACAAAGTTTCAGATTCGACAGTGTTTATAAAATATAATTTAAAAAAAAAATACCTTGGTTTTGATACTGTGGACGATAGGCAGTTGCCAGGCTATCCCAATCATGGACCCGCTTGGCATTATTATTCTCAGAGGCACTCACTTTGGGGACGAAGGCGGGAGCGAAAGGACCAAACTGATAGCTCCTTGAACTCTGCTTTGAGTCCTCCTGATCTTGATGGCTTTTGTCTGCCTGACCGAGCCAACTATCACCATCCACTTTGTTTAATATCTTAGTATTGTGGCTTGAGCCCCCACTAGAGAATGAATCCACTTTACTCCTCTTAAAACTGATGTTTGTGATATCATTACCAAATATCCTTTTCCTGGATTCGTTGGGTTTTGAATTGTGAATAGACTCATTCTCTATCTTCCCCTTCAAGCCGAGCCATCTAAAAGCAGGTTTTCTCGTGTCTGATGTATGAGTCTACAACCATAACAGATTAGTCAAAAACTTACAGTTGAAACAGAAAACGATATGCAACTTTAATTTCAACAGCAGTTAACGCAAAGAGGCAGATATATTACCACTGCCCGCTCAATTCTACTTCAAAAAATAACAAGAAAGAATGGAATAGCACCTTCTCAATGAGGTTCATGGAGGACAGCACATTCGCAATATCATATAGACGTCTTACTTTCGCTGAAAGGTCAAAAGGTCAAAAGATATAAGTGAAAAGTTCAACGTTTCTTTCTCTATCACTGGATAATGAATAACCGCAGTAAAGTATTTACTTCTCATTATTGACGTATTATGGGCATCTCCTAGCAACAACCTGGCAGCTTCATCGAGGGAAATCAACTCCATCTGTAGAGTGATTGTTGGAAAGTTTTAACAAGACATAATAGATTTGGCTAGTAGGAAAATGGACCGCTTAATTATCAAGAAACTGATGGTAACCCTCACATTATGGCAAACAAAGAGCTTGACAAAATTCTGAGTGAGAAGTGCCAGAGACTTTTCCCTTCGGTTATCTGCAAAGTGCAATTGAAGCAGTGTCAACCTTCAGAACCAGTATAGTGCCATTGCAAGATGTAACGAAATCCCAATGCTTCACAGTTCAAAACTACAAAATTCATCAAAGCTTTTTTTGCAGGCAAGACGTAAGAGAACCTATTATGCTCCCTAAAGGCAAAAGCAGAGCCCGCCGCTTCCTACAGAAATGGCAACCCAGACTAAATATGAATAAAACGAAAGAAAGTTACCTTCCCCTCTCAAATTCATGGTGTTATTTTTACCATTCTAATACAATGAAATGCAATGCGACATATTGACCATAAAACTAGATGCATGGGCAATTTACGATTCAAATTGTAACTGAATTTTAATCCATGGAAAAGTATTAAAATACCATTCTTCGTGGCTTTGGGAAGAGTGGAGTTTGGACAAGACTTGTCATTCTGACTTCCAGTACTAGGATTGGACAATGTTTCTTCATCGTCCTCATCGTCTGATACCTGAAACGGATTATTGAAGTCAAACAGCTCATATCAGACTAGTATAACCCTTCCAAGTTCCAACCAAATTTTAAGTGTCAGGAAGAAAAAATAAATGAAATAATTTCTGAAATTTCGACTCCACTTACTTTTGCATTTTCGTGGCCGCCATCAAAAGCATCGTAATTCTCCCTTGAACCTTCTTCCTATGATACAATTAGAAATTGAAATTATTGTCAATCCTTGAACCATCAATTTGATGCACGGCATGCACCTCGGCACATGACAAGTTCTCGGAAAATCTAGTCCTGAACAGAATTCTTAGAAGTTAAAAACTAAATTTACCTTGAGCTCCTGTAAGGCCCCAGGAATTGCCTCAAATCCTTTCCAAGTATATTGATTCTTAGCTTTTCTTGCAAGCACCTAAAAATTAACAGACAGCGCGGGACACATGAATAAGAAAGCGGAAATTAAGAGAAAACGGGAGGGAGATTTAAAAGGATTCAGGCACCTTACCCCGACACTCTCCAGTACATTAACTATATCATAGATCCGCCGCCTCTCGACCCCTGAAATTTCACCAAAATTGAAAGCAACAATTAGATCTATCCCAAAGGCAATGCAATATTCAAGAATGATAGAGTAGCTACACTATATTTTCCTTAAAAGGATGCATATTTCTACTTAAACTCTTATTTTTAGTCGTTTAAATAAGATAGGACCTCGAATTCGTAACGTTACTCACTGGTTGGATTCCTCAAAGTAGAAAGGAAAATATCAATATTCAAAAAGTTTCAAGTTTTTCTTGAAAAAAATGAACTTTTAACTGCTGAATTTTAAAGGGAACAAAATAGAAGAGAGTATCCGGAGACGGGTTCTTCAAAACCAAAATTGAGAGTTTACGAAGCTCCTCAAGCATAATCAGGTGCATAAATACCTAATCGCGCAGCCGCATCGTCAAGGCCGATCAAGTGAACGCTATCTCGATTATACAAGCTCAGGAAACTGCACGATGCGCATCAAATTTAAAACAAACGATGCCAAGGAGAAAGCTAGATGATATAAAGGAAGAAAAGAAAAGAGCAGGAAGGGAAAAGTACTTGGTGCACAAGAGGCCGAGAGATTTTTGCTTGCGGTTATAGGTGTAGTGCCTGGAAGGATCTACGAGTGCAGAAGAAGAGGCCATAGATTAGATCTGATGGAGCGATCCGTGAGTTAGAATTGGAGGGAAGAGAAATGGGGGGAAGAAGAGAGAGAGGGGACCGTTATGAAATAGGGAGGAAAAATTAGGGGCGTTTAGGAGAAAATGGCGGGGTCGGAATTTTGAAATTTGCGAATAGCGAGGGTTTGGATCTGATACCTGTCTTTCAATTCGTTTGTTTTATAGTTTCAGTATTTTCGAACAAGCGGGAATTTGAATTCTTGACGCGCCGCACCACCTACCTGTAATTACACTTTTCACCCTTGTTCGTTAGTTTTTCCCGGATGTGCTTTCGCTTCCGAATTCCCAATCATGTGGCTACCTACTTTACAAACATAAACATAATGGTTAATACTATTAAATAATGGTATCATTTTTCCTATTATCAACGGATCAATTGCCTGCCGTTTACACAATCAAAAGTTCAAAACCTTTGTTGGACACCGTGAGGCTAAGAATTCACTGTGCAAAATATCCTACACTTCTTCAAATGACTAGCATAAAGACCCGTCTCAAAAACAAAATTTAAACTATAATTAGTTAAACAGTCCGCTTACTTGTTTCCTTTGTTTAAACTTCCATAAAATCTAAACACGATTCAAAGACTTTCCGCCTATCACATTGCGGGATATTAATAATACTACTATTTTAGTCATAAATATAAAACTTATTTTGTAATGTAAAATTTATATTATAATTTATACTACAAAATATGTTTCATATTTAGAACCGGAGGAGTAGTATTTAAGCCTCTCTCAATCTTCAAACATCTTGCTCCCAGCTCACTGAGGGGAAAATGTCTTCACTAATGTTCGGTCCACTTCATTTTAGGGGGTATTTGGCAATATGAAAACCATGGTTTCAGAAGCACTTTTCGCAAAACGAGACAAACTCCTCCACATATTTACTTCGTAAACCGTAAAAGCACTTCTGAAACCATGGTTTTGTTTCTATCCAAACACCTCCATAGTTGGCGAGAAATGCATAAAACGGGAGAAGTTATACACAACTTGTTTGCCTAGTCCGTCCTTCCCAAAATTTCTAGTCATATACAAAATGTCGCAAACACTTGTTAATCACCATATCAGACTGATTAGGAAATCTAAAATCATAATCGAAAAGCACAATGTTCCTCTAATTCCACAGATGACAGCAGCACACGGCAAAAACACATCCCAATCACACAATTTCCCATGAAAAATTTATAAAAAGCTAGGGCAGCTCATCTAATATGAACAAGTTACCATTAGGGTGTGCTTGGAATCAAAGTTGAAGGTCTAAATGAATTTCTCCACAAGCAAAAGTAACTTTTTGAGTTAAAATATTGTTTGGGTTCACGTTTTCATAATCTGACTTTTGAGGCTGAATGAGCTTTTAGAGTGAAGTTCCATATTTTTTTGCTTTTCACAGGATGGTGCAATAAGAGAAGCTGCTAGAAGCATTAATTATGTTTTAGGGGGTGTTTAGATGAAACCAAACCAGGGCTTGGAGAATAGTTTCTAGGAAGAATAGATTTTGTAAAGAATAAATTTTGTGAAAAAGTGATTCTGATAAAGTGAGAGTGTTTGGATAGTTGTTATCAGAAAGACTTTTTATATGTGCAAATTAATAAAAAGGATATAAGTTAATATGATAATCATATGAAAGATAATTTTATAATATATTTTAATTTGAAGAAGTAAAATTGTTAATAAAATAATTTTTACTAACTTAATTAATAATATATAAGATAATATAATTAATAATGAATTAATATGTGTATATATATTTATAAATTATAAGATTAAATATGTTTATAGAAATTAACAGGAAAAATATTAATTTGCTTTAAATATTTTAAACATGAAATTCTATAACATTTTTTCATAACTAGTTTTTATAATAACATACTACCTCTCATCTTTAATATAATTAATTAATCGTTACTACGTGTGTAAAAATATTTATAAAGTATAAGATTAAAAATGTTTTTGAAAAGATAAATAATTTTTTGTGAACAGAAATAAAAAATGAATAAAAAGAAAAGTACAAAAGGCGGAAGATAACGTAACAAATCCTACCTCTAAACGTTAGTACCTCTTTTCTGATTGATTAAAAAAAAACATACTACCTCTGAACAGTGAAGGACTGAAGGCGGAAGAGTGTCAGATGCTTGCCAATGGATATGAGGATATGTTTTTTTTACCAGACACATATATCAGATGCTTGCCAATGGATATGATTTTTTTTACCAGACACATATACCCCTCATCTTCCGCCTTCAGTCCTTCACTGTTCAGAGGTAGTATGTTTTTTTTTTAATCAATCAAAAAAGAGGTACTAACGTTTAGAGGTAGGATTTGTTACATTCTCTTCCGCCTTCAGTACTTTTCTTTTATTCATTTTTTATTTCTGTTCACAAAAAATTATTTATCTTTTCAAAAACATTTTTAATCTTATACTTTATAAATGTTTTTACACACGTAGTAACGATTAATTAATTATATTAAAGATGAGAGGTAGTATATTTTTTATCAACATAATCAATAATATATAAGATAATATAATTAATAATTAATTAATATGTGTATATATTTATAAAATATAAGATTAAATATGTTTATAAAAAATAATTGAGGGATGTTAAAGTCATATTATCATTAAGATCTACTCTGATAGATACAATCACACTCTCTAATTTAAGCTAGAAGCAAAATAGATTCATTTTTTCTGAAACCATGATTTTGAATCCAAAACCATGGTTTTAGCCTGAAACCGCGGTTTGTTAATTTTTCTCCCCGTTTGACAAATTTGAAACCCAAACCATGGTTTAATCTCAAAACCATGGTTTCATCGTGTTGCCAAACACCCCTTTAGTCTCTTTTTGTATGCCTTTTGTATGTATTTGTGGCCGTAAGAAGACAAGGGCAAAGGTGCTACGTCGATGTACTATTTTAATTTATATTTTTTGTCTATTAAATATATCTAATTAAATATTTTCTCTGGTTTAAAAAATAAGATAAATTTTATCCATTTATTAAAATCAGTTTAAAATAATAAATATTTAAGGCATATATTTTTTTTTCAAATATATCATTATTAATGAAGAGAATAAATAAAATGTGCAACAAATGAATCAAAGAGGAAAAGAAATATATGGTGGCAAAGCTTGAAAAAACTCATTAAATGCTTAGACAAAAATAAATATTATCTTACGAAAAAACTCAGCTCCTCCAACAAAGTTTATTTTATATTTGAACAGTATTTTTCAATTTCTTCCTAATAAATTAATTTTATTGTCAATATTTCTTTTGCAGTTGTCACATTAAATACATATAATATCTCATATATATATATATATTACTTAATAAAATTCATGTCCTTTTCAATTATTTTATGTGTAAATTTACTTTTTTATTAATTATTCAAACAAGTTTCAGCTTCTCAAATTGACTTTTCTTAAAAAACCAATCCAAATATAAATCATATTACACTGCCTAACTTTTACTTGTGATTTTTACAGAAGTTAAATTGAAACAAAATGACTTCCCCCACAGTACCTTTCTACGATTCAATTGGTTTCATAGATCTCAGCCACGCCGTCCTATCTGATCCATCTTCACTTCTAGGAGCAGGCTGTGCTCTAATCTCCAAGATATCAATCCCCCCAGAGATAAGCCTTCATCAGTTCAACATTCTCTCTGGGTTGGCCAACAAATTCCAGCCAAAATTCCCAAAATGGAGCCATGTTCACACTCTCTGCATCTCTCAAACCATAGCCCCCATGCTCCTTGGATTTTCAGAGAATATTCCATCCAACCGAGAGCATCATCCTCCTCTCATTCGGCGACCTCCAAGTGAAACTCCTTACTTGAGTCAGTCTTTCTTTTAGCCCGGCACATAACGACAGTAGGAGAGTATTTTTGTTCTAGTCTTGCAGAAGAAACCCAGAGCCACCGTGCTGGAGTTCATAGTTATGAACTTATGCGAACACCCCAAGATTACACACGCAGTGTACATGCAAGGTTTGCCAATCCCTCTTTGTTGAAGGTTTAATTGCGATAAGAACCAAAGCCGCTTACAATCAGAATTCATTTTACTCCATGGGAAGAGCCTGAGCAGTAAATAATGCGGCGTCTATATGTTACGAGGCAACGAAATCGTAGCATCAAGCACCAATCCTTTGTTGACATTATCGATTATGCTCCTTTCAATTTTAAATGTAAAAGCTTGTAATCTAATTCATATTAAAAAAAATTGTGCTAATTTTTCTTAAAAAAACCCCTCCGTACAATTTTTTAATTTATCAAGGGATTTCCATTTGAGGATAATCATAATTTAGAAAAGCATTTTAAAAAACTCAATTCATATTTATTATAAATAATTAGCTTCACTAATTTTTTTAAATTTACTAAAATTAATTAAGTAGCACTTATATTAAAAATAAAAAAAGTAAATATATAATAGGGTTAAAAATTAAAAAGCGGAGCGAGAGCCTTATCTATAATTTTATTAGACGCGCATCCTACGTTCTTCATCCACATCGTATTGTGTGCGCGGGAGTCTCTCTCTCTCTCTCTAAATGCATCATCTATATTTTGTGAAAGGGTCCCACGGTGATGAACCAATAGTGAGGAATCCTTTTGCCACCCTGATATTAACGTTAAAAACAAGTATTTATAACAATACAAAAGCCCTGAGATTACCCAGATTGTACCAGATTATGCAGACAGCCATCCAGATGCCCGTCTTTTTTATTCATGCTTATTTCCTACCACCACAAAATGGCATACGGAGCTTAATAATTATCACTATCTCAATACACTGGGATTAAAATGAATGGTTGAACTGATGAAGTTACCGATTAACTGATATGCAGAAGTCAGCGAATTAGTAAATTAATCTGAAGCACAGATTGATGATATGATGATAACTGAGGTGAACGAATAGATAAATCCTCCAAGTCTTTATCATTGAAGCACCCACACATAAAAATTATTAGTGTATCTTCCATCGCTGACATCACACAGGTCAGCCTAATATCACTCCCATTTCATCAATGCACCTGAAAGCCTTATATTGGACATAACAGGGTTTACATTAAAGACATACTTATATCTCAAACAGACTTAGTTGCGGTTTGAGTCAGCAAAGTAGCTGTTGATGGATGGCATGATCTCTGGGGCTCTGTTGCGCACATGCTTCCTCAAGAAATGCTCTGCATACTTTTCTCCCTCAGCAAAGTTCTCCAGCACTCCTGCAGCCCTCCCCTCTTTGCTTACCCTATTTTTGGGAATACATTATTACACAAGACAGAAAAATAGACTATTATTCATTACCCTCTCATCCAGATATTAATTAAACAAGGAAAAGATCAACACTTGTGATCATGGCATAATTCTTGAGGAAATTTTCAAATTTTATTTTCCAATCGATTATTTAAATTTTTCTGTCATACCCGGTTTCTGGAAAACAAGTAGGTTGCATCAACGTTAAAAAGACATCCAACTCCAAGTATTTCATTGTTCAGTAATGCCAATCTTACAATAATTTTAGGATTGACTTGGATTAGTCTACCTAAGAATCCCCCTTAATGGTTGTTCAAATGCAGTTTTTGTCGACCTACCACATGGAAGACACTCATACTAAATACCACTTCCAATTACAGATAAACACTTCAGATTTTATTGTGACACCGGGTCTCCTGTCCTAACTGGCATCCATGCTTGGTAGGTGCTGATAAATAGGATCCATCTTCCCTATGCTAAGTTGCTAACCCTTCCATAATAGTAGCAATCAGCAAAATTGTACAAATCCAGCGACTTAGCCGGCAAAAGATATTTTAACTCAGCGTCATGCCTAACAGATCAAATCAGCCCTCTTCTCTTCACCGATTGTGACAATCATTTGGAAAAAGTTACGATAATCAAAATAACAAACAAGAAATTCAGGCGAAGCATAAATATTTTAACCCCCAAGCTTCTGCTGACTAAATTAGTCAATCCATTTCCAAACCAGGGGTTGAACAAGAAAATCAAACAGGGTCCACGAAAAATCAACGGAAGCAAAATAAAAAATTTGGCATCAAAGACGAATATTCCACTACACTGGTTGAAACCTAACACATCAGGAATAGAAAGCGAGAGGGATTAACCTGACTTCAGGATTGATAAGGATATTGCGAACCAATTGAAACCCACAGATCCCTACAGCAACTCCAACAGCCGCGAACAAAGGGTACACCTAAACGCCCAAATGTTCAGTAATCCATGCAATAAAAACTTAAGAAATGCGAAAATCGAAAAGAGAGAAAAGGCGAAGGAGAAGCACCTCGGGCCTGAGCCAGCGATTCGCCATCTATAGCAGAGCTCAAGGAAGATCAAGGGTCAAAGAGAGCTCGCTTCGAATGAAATGGGCAGAAGAGGAGGGTGGGGAGATGAACAGAGGAGGGATATATATCATCGGAGAAAACTGACGTCGAATTATTTTAAGTATAAATATTGCAATTTGTTTGGATAAAATTCGGAAATATTTTATTGCTGCACTGATAGCTGCGTTATTGTCTTATCCGTTGAGAAAAACAGGGCATTCGCGAGAATTTTGCATAATAATATAATTAGATAGCTTTATTTACTCCTTTTATCCTATTATCCTGTTTATAAAACAAAGAGAAAAAAATTTTTAGTAGGTAGAAAGAAAAAATTTTCACATGATTATATAATTTTTTCTTTCATTTATTATTATGTTGGGTTTGTTTTTACAAACTGTAATATATATTAAATAAAAATAAAAATAAAAAGTTATTAAATTTTAAATTAGAGTTAATGAAATTTAAATTTTTTTATTTATATGAAATATGTTAAAAGTGACTTATAAATAAGATAAGAGAGTATTTTTTAAATGATTAAATTTGATTTTATTCTTATACTTTGATCATGTTTTGTTTTCAGTTCTTATATTTTATTTTTGTATTTCTTCTCAAATATTAGTCCTTTCAATTTGAAAAATAGTCACAAAAACCAGGAGCGACTCCAAACAGTATTAATTTTGCTGACATTGAATTAACCGCATTAAAGCCATCAGATAAATAAGTAAAAATATAATGACTTGAAAAAACATGACCGAGGGGCCATAAATAAACCAGCGTTAATTTTGCTAGCTGAAAAAAAAAATGTAAACTTGTCTGATTTAAAATTAAAATTGTGTTTGATTAAGTTAGCATATTTTTTTCCTACTCGTTTGATGGTTTTGATCACATCAAGCTCATGCGCGCAAATTTTATGTTGTTTGGGCAGTTCGTGGTTCTTGTTATCTTTTAATGTTATTTCGATTTTATTTTTCTCCGTCAAATTGAGATTCTATGCTTCAATAATTTGGATTGTTCATTGTTGCAAGTTGTAAGGCATCTTGCACGCTACTCGATGTGACGCTCAAATGGCGAATTAGCAAGAGCCACGTGACATGGGCGCAAGGTTCCATTTTAGAATTCTTCCCGCCCCTTGTTTGTTTGCCCCTTTGATCACCCAAACAAATAGGGGTGAGCAAAACCGAACCGTAACCGAAAATCGAATCGAACCGAATTTAATTTCGATTTTTCGGTTCGGTTATTTCGGTTTTCGGTTATATATTCGGTTTTTATTTCTTAAACAATTCGGTTTCGGTGTTCGGTTTGGTTAGTAGAAAAAAAAATTCGGTTATAACCGAATAACCGAAATAAATATATTATATATTTATATTTAATAAATATTTTTATAATAAATATATATGTGGGTATATGTGAACTTTTTAAATATATTTATATTCAATAAATATGATTATAATAAATATTATTATAATAAATCACATTGAATGATGAAATATTTATTAATTAATGGTTAAATTGTGTTTTATTATTATTTTTAATTTAAAATTATTTTTCATATTTATATATTTCGGTTATTCGGTTAACCGAACCGAAATTTTCGGTTAATTCGGTTTCGGTTAGTTTGGTTGTTCGGTTTCGGTTCGGTGTTTAAAATTTACTCTATTCGGTTATTCGGTTAATTCGATTATCACCGATAACCGAACCAAAAAACCGAATGCTCACCCCTACAAACAAACCAACTGCCAAACTTCATCTCCTTTCCTTCGGATGGAAAAGAACACAGATAGCACCAACAAGAATTAGTCTAATTGGTAAGAAAATTGGTTCATAACTTATAAAATGATTAATTAAAACCCTATTACTAATATGAGGACTAAGGCTGTACAAAGAGCAAGTTAGATTGGATTAGGTATTAGCTCGAAATCTGGTCTGAAAAATGATTGGGCTATAATATTTGGTCTGGAGACCGGACTAATCTGGTTGAGCCCAAAATAAAGACTGGGTTGGATTTAGTCTCCCAGCTTTGCTGCTTCCTTTTCTTTAAAAGAAAATGATACATGGCAGAGAAAAACTGGATTTGGACTAGGACTATCAATTTTTTTTTAATGCTTACAATACATGTAAACATAATCATTAAACAGTAAACACTTGGATGTGTACGGTCCTTTCAGCTTTTTTTATAGCATATAAATAAAATAATTTGAAAAAAAAAAACTGAGGAAATCCCAAATAAATACCTTTAAAATATGAAAATCCCATATTAGTGACTCCAATTCCACTTATCTCAAATCGGTATCCAGATATCAAATTGGGATTTTTGAATGTTGTTGATTTACTGTAGTCTGATTCTTCCTTCTTCCATTCTCTCTTTTCATCGCCTGCTCACTTTCTCTGTACCACAAGCAACCCATACCCCCACTACTAGCTCTATCTCCGCCGGATTAAGTGCTCCTTGTACTGGGTGAAAGAGTTAAGAACAACCCAGCAAACGTGAGGAAAGGGAGCAACAAATTGCCAATGAAATCAAACAACTCATACCTAAATCACATTTGAAGACAGAAGTATCGACACCATTAATGGCTAGAATATCGATAAGGTTTGGGTCATCGAGTTTGATGATGGTGGTTCGGTGGCAATTGACGACGATAAGCTGAAGGGTAGAACCATCTTTGCTGAACCTGACTCTGTCGACCTTGCGTCCTCGCCCTTCTTGATGGCATTCACGAATTTGGTTTGGGGGTAACAAGAAGAAGATTTTGAGCAACGTGGAGGAGCTGAACGGACTTGATTTGCTGGGTTGAAGAGCAGTAAGTGGTCACTAAATACAGAAAGATGAAAAGAAGAAGCCGATGGAAAGAGATGGATTCAAGGTAGAAGGAAGGGTTAAGGTGAACCCGATACTTCTAAGTATTTTTGTGAGTGCATCCAGTGATTTAAAATAATTTATGATATAAATTTACTATTAAAGTAATTAAAATGGTACACACATATCTCATCTCATGACAACAGATTATTAGTTTGACCATGAAATTGATGAGTTAGGTTACGTTTGAGCAAAACAATTTATTTATCACGTCTAATAAGCATGTGAGGTGGCTTTTTTGTTAAATCTTTTTTGTTGTTTGAGAATTATCTCTGAAACCAGAGTGGCAGAGGGTGAGAACTATCGGGATGACGGAGTTGGACGTGGTGGATCCGGATCGGGTATAAGCATGGAGCGAGATGGGTTGACCCTTGGTGAAGTAGTTCTTCGAGGTGGTTGCCTCACGTTGCGCTACTTGAAAGATCCAAAAGAACTCCAGGTGCTTCAAGAATGGATGGTTCTACAGTTGGGGCGTGGGAGTGATGCATCCAGATGGGTACTTAGAGATTAAAGATCGATCAAAGGATGTGATCATAAGTGGGAGTGAGAATCTGAGTGGCGTGGAGGCTGAATCAATGCTGTACAACCACCCGGCGGTGAACGAGGCGACGGTGGCGGCGAGGCCGGATGAGTTCTGGGGAGAGACACTGTGTGCGTTCATTCGATTGAAGGAGGGATCAGAGAAGACGCCGGCAGAAATAATTTTTAAACAAAAAAAAAAGCCACGTGACATGCTTATTAGACACACTAGATAAGATTGTTTTGGTCAAACATAGGCTGACTCATCAATTTCACAGTCAAATTAACCGATCTCTTACTATGGGATATGGGTATACTATTTTAATTACTTTAAGGATGAACTTGCACCATAAATTATTTTAGGTCACTGGATATACCCAGAAAAATACTTAGGAGTGTTGGATACACTTTTAATTGAGAAAAAGATGGGCAATGGACTAAAAGGCCAAGTGTCACAATAATGGATGGAGAATCTGCCTGGCTTTCTTCCATCCGAAACAGAGGAAGGACTATTAATTCATTATAACAATTTTTGTAATTTGGAAAAGTGTTTATCAACAACAACATTGTGATGGTGAATAATTAATGGGATGCAGTGAATTGTTATATCGCGGTTGTAAATGAGCAAAAGTTGTAAATATCTTTGAAGGAGTGGTCTCATTTGTTTATTTTAATTAGTCGTGTTGATAATTTTTCCAACTATATTAACACCACTTTTATACTTATTGACAATAAGTAATAAGTAAATTCATCACAACTTTGTTAATTGCGTTAACAATTCTTTCAAACAGATTAATAATACTTTTATACGTATTGGCAATAAGTAATTAAAAAAATTAATTACAACTTTGTTAGGTATATTAACAACTCTTCTAAATAGATTAATAATACTTTTATATGTATTAACAAGTAATCAAAAAAATCTATTACAAGGTAAACCAATTGTCACAACTAGGCAAATCACATGCTACTAACTTGTTAAGGCTATTGACAACTCTTTCAAATAGATTGAAAACAATTATATATATATTAAAAAGTAATTAGCAAAATTCATTACATAACAAACTAATTAGAAAAGTTGGGCAAATCGTATACTGCCCTCTTGTCTGGTGTATTGACAACTCTCTTATATCAATTGACAATGTTTTTATATAGATGAATTACACTAATTTGCTTTTTGTATTGTCTTTCCTTTTGTCAATTTATGAGGGCAAGCTTGTCTTTTGGCTAATTTGGAAATACCAAATCAATACTTCTATTCTAATTTGGGTTTTTGCTTGTCACTAGCACTAACATAGAATTTTGTACATTTAAAAGTATTTTTGTGTCTTTTTCTCAACAAAAAAAAGGTTAAAGTATATTTTATTCTTCCTCTCTCAGTAGCCTCCGTCTTCTTCCTATAAACTCGAACAATAAACCCTCTGAGAACCATCATCACCTTTTGCATCTTCAATGCACCAAGAGAACAATAATCCAACCCGTTTTCATCTTCCTTTCGAAGATGCACAGTTGAGAGAAGTGAGGGGTGGCCAAGTCGAAGGAGGAGGAGGGAAGATAGAACGGCTAAAAGGGGTTAGGGCATATACGAAGAAGAGGAAAAAAATCTACCTGGACTGGGCCAGATCAAATGGTCAAAAACATTAGTCTTGAACCCGATCTTATCCGGTTGCCCAGTCTAACCCAATTGGTCTAGTCTTTTTTTTAGGAGGAGCTTTTTTCCTAATCTGGTTAGGCTGCGTAGTTGCAAGGGAGACCGGGTTATGAGTATTTTTGCATAGCCCTAATGAGAATCTTACTAGTAAATAATTTGTAAGTATTTTTATAAGTACTTTTTGAATCTTGAGGTATGCCCTAGTCCTGTGAGTCTCTATGACTTAACTCACCTAAATTTTTTTTATCCAGAACAAACACTAATAGTGAAAACCCTATATTTGGTAGAAACTGACACCAAATAAAACGTTTTTTGGGGAAAAAAAATTTCTGCGTGTCATGAGATTTATTCATGATAAATCATGCTATTCGGCATTGACAAAAAAAGGGTTCGCATAATGATTTTAATGAAAAATGATCCAGAATGTCGTGATATGATTTTTTAAATTAAAATTAAGAATACCAGCAGCTTTAACTACTTTTTTAATTTAAAATGATATCATCATGCGTAGGACGATTAGTTTGTAGGCATCGGTGGATGCATAATGTCACATGCACCAAGAATAGGGACCAATTGTTCAAGTTTTCTTCATCTCGCGTTTTTCTTAACTGTAAAGGAAAAGCTCACAGCTGATCTTTTGGTTGGGCAGATCATAGGGAAGGTAAAGGGGAACATGGTTTTATGGACCATGGTTTTAGACAATTAGCTGACACGTTAATACGTGGGGAGGGTGGGTAAGTGAAATCATTGTGGATAGGATTATTTCTTTAACTAACATTTCTAAACACGATTGTTTATGATTAGTTATATGCTAATTGGGAGATGTAATTAATTAGGTGATTTAAGAGATGATTATCAACCATCAAACTTGTCATTTTAATTAAATTATATCATTTAACTATAACAGGTGTAATCTCGAATTAATCCCGATTTGATTTGTCGATCATTAAATCATTATCTGAACTAATTTAGTGTCTGATCCGGCTTTTGTTCATTGTTTAGGTTTGGTTGCCTATATAAAATAGGACTCACCTCTCATATTCGTCCTTTTCCCTCCTGTCACTTCTGCTCTTCAAATTTATGGGGTGTCTGGAATAATTTTTTAAAAGTGATTTTACGAGTAGGTATGTGACTGAAATTTTGTTTCGGCATATGTGAAAGTGTTTTTAAGTGCTTTTTAGGCTTTCCAAACACTCCCTCAAGCTTTTTGAGATTTAGTATATTGTAAAATTATTATTACAATGCTAAATAACAAAAAATAATTTTATATGTCAAAAATATATAATGATAAAAAAATTTGTGCTGAATATTTCAAAAATATAATGATAAAATATTTTGTAAAATAATTTTAAACTACATTTTCATTACAATGTTAAATGTCTATGTCAAATTTTGACGATTTAAATTTATTTATTTTTATAATCTAATATCGTTATAGTAATCTTGTATTAATACAATATACTTCAGCAGTTAGGATTTAAATGAGGGTTGGAGCCTGGAGGTGCGAAGGAGGAAAGAAGGGGCTGGCCTGGTCTTAAAAGGCTGGACCGTGATAGACCCAGGCATGAAACTTTTTCTATGTAGAGGTTTTTTTTTTTTTTTTTTATCGGAGTAATAATATTTGTGACACTTTTAAGTATTAAATAAGAGTATTTTTTTCTTGACTTATTTTGAGAGTTCTAAAAGTCACGTCTTATAGCTTTTTTTTTTGGCTGAGCATGTATATTTTTTTATTAAAGACAATTCTATTTAAAGTATAATCTTATTTATAGTTTATAAATAAAATCTTATAATTAAGACTGAAAATAGTATTATTGGATAAGATTAGTTTTGATATGAAAATACCTGTACTTAGTTAGAAGAATTTTTTAAAAAAACTCTTTTAGACTTAAATGAGCATTCAAAATCTCATTTATCTTTTTCGGGCCAAAAGCCTTCAAAATGTCATTTACCCAAGCTTGTTTGTTAAACGAGTTAATTTTTTTTCCCCAATAAAAAGAGAGTACATGAAACAGAAACAAATTGGGGCCGTCTGCAATTTGTGAGCCGTTGGATTGAAGATCCTGGAAATGGCGCCGAAGGCATCACTGATTTGTGACCAGGATCATGAAATTCAAAAATTATATTTGCTTTGTATGGTTTGAAACTCCCTCATGGGGACAAAAATCTGTATACTGTAAAGTTCATATATACTATATATATATATTGCGAATCATATTTAATATTAGGGATAAAATATTTAAATATCTCATAATTATATGCCAAAGAGTACTCAAGCACTTTTTTTTCCCCTTTTGTTCTTATCTCTTGAAAACTGTATCTATTGTTAGATTTGACTATTAAAAATATTGGTTAAATCACATAATTTATTGGTCAAACTTAACGGCAAATAATAGTCAAAATATTTTTGCTACAAAAATAAATTTTTAGAACATACAAGGGTCAAAAAAATTGAGGTATTGAGTACTTTTTCGTAAATATTGTGAAAGTTTTAAGCACTTTATTCCTTTAATATTATATATAATTGGTTTATTCAGCTGATCTCTGCATCCTGAAGAGACTCTTCAAAATTCAAATTTACTTCTGGAGATTCAGTTTCTGGTGATCTGGATGATACATGGTTCTATGGGATGGGAAAATCTCCGTGTTTAAAACTTAGAAATGAACATCCAAGAACCATCGAATTGTCACAGCATATTTATATGCTATCCTCTCAGTTCCTTTTTTCCAGATCCGATACGTTTCGTAAAGGGATTTAAAGATATAGAAGAAACAAAGACGACAATGAAAACGTGGGGTCATTCTGAAATGAGTATAATGTGTGAATGCAAGGGTGAATCATATATTTGCAGAAAAGACTTGAATATCAAGTCATCCACAGAGAATCCGAAACGCTGGGTTTAATACTATTATTCGTGATCTTTAATTTGGTAAAGGAGTGTGCAAAATTAAAAGATTTTATCCATAGAAAGGAGGAAGGAAAGCGATGAAAGCACAAGGAAGAGGGATCCAATAAGTCGGGCGCGTGGTTTGAAGGAAAGGCGGATTTATTTATTATTGAATCAAAGAGAGGTATCAGTGGAGATAGCATCCAAGATTAGCAGGACACAGAAAATCAAAGGGAGCTTGTGGATGAAGCGAGCCAGACAAAAACAGATGACTGACCTGAAAGGCATGTCGTACTCCACCAGATTGCATGGAGTTCTATAATATTCTCATGTGATGTGTGAATAAATAAATAAATAAAAGGTACAGGTCTATCCAGAATTTTGTTATTTTGCTCAGATTGCATTCACTTACTTTTTCACAAAATTGCACTGTAAAATTGTGCCCAAAAAAAAAAAATCAAGGGTATCATGGTTAAAATTGCATTATGAAAAGATAAAGGATAGAATGATATATAAATAAGACCATGATCAAAATTACACTTTATCCCCTTAAAAATAATAAATATAAAGAATAAATTTTATATTTAAGATTAAAATTAATTTTTCAATTACATCGCACGTTAAGAACTAATAATTAGAGAAGTACTGTACCAACTTTATTTCTATTTACAAGTTATTTAGAGAAAAAATTTGTTGTTGATATGAGTCACTTATAGAAGAATTAATGAGTTTTTTATTCAATTTTATTCATATTCACTTAATAAATATAGCTTTTTTTTATTTATTAGCTTTCAGTATAAATAACTTATAAATAAAAATGAAGTGATGAATAATTATGACATGTGAGGGGCGTTGGGTGGACAGCAGAACTGATGTGGCTGGTCTCATCTTATCACGCATGATCCGTGGGCCCTCAAAATCTCTCTCTCATTTCTTTTTTCACAAAAAAAAGAAGAAAAAAGCAGCGACTTAGGAAAGGCAGGCCCCAGCGGTCAGCGGATCCACCTCAGATATGCTGGGGGTACGGTGGACCTCTCATTCTGCGATGCTTGCCTCTCTGCCTCATTCCCTCCGACTTCACGCTTCCTTTCTATAGTTTTAACTTTTTGCCCTCTATGTGATTTTTTACTGCGAATTTTTTTTAAAAAAATTTAAAATTATCATTTCTCTATTTAAGTATTTATGAGTTAAAAATTACACCGAAGAAAATGATATATGGTATTTTATAAATATAGTTAAACAACTGAAATATTTTTATATCAGATTTGAAAAAAAAGATGTTAAACTTATAAGTATATTTCTTGTTATTAACTGTTTAATATTTATTATTATTAATTTACAACTTTTTGATAAATAATTTATTATTGCCAATATATTTATTATTATTTGTTATTCAATAGTTGTCATTATCCCTTTAGAACTGGTTAGTACATTTTTATATAATAACATTTTAGTTATTTAACTACATTTACAATATATCATATCAGGTGTCATTTTCTATTTTTATTTTTAGATGTCTGATTTGAAATATTACATTTTTCAGGTTTTTTTATCTGTCATTTTTCCTTGTTTATTTCTTATTTTTTGATGCAGTTTATTTTTCCATTTTGATATGTTATTCTTTGGTTTTTTATGCATAATATTTATATCTCTCACTTATTTTTTTGGCATAGGGTTCATCCAACACTCACAAATATTTTTAAAAGTGTTTTTTCAATATTTGAAGTATTTTTTTATTCCCTTAAAATTCTGAAAAATCTTTCCCAGTGTATTAAGCACCTTAAATGCTCTAATCTTAAATCCTAAATCAGGGTGTTCCGCACATCTAAAAAAAAGTTTCAAATTGTTAGGTAAATAATAAAATATTTTATTATTTTAAAATAATATTTTTGACAAAAATACTTTTAGCTGCGAGATGAATTTAGCCAGTGAAAGCGTTTTCTCACATTGATTCAAACTTAAAACCTTGAGTTTAAAGAGTTAAATTCTTTTATTGACATGATACTTATTCCTCCCACTGGTTTTTTTTGCCGCAATGACAAATCACTGACATAATATTTATATTCCCAGATATATAATTACTTAATCATTTTTATTTTTATTCCAATAATACGAGTTTAAACATCACCACCGTCCATACTCCATAATATAATTCACTGACTTTACAATTTTGTATAAAAATAATACTCCAATTTCAATTCAATTCCTATAGTTTAATCTAAATTTTCTAACATCATTACTTAACCGTTATATTAAATATTTGCTTAGTAAAGAGAAAAGCCAACCTTTATTATGAATATTTTAAAACTTCATCAAAATAAATTGATTTCGCAAGCTCATCAATTCTGAACACGCCAAGGGGAGTAGAAAGCGAATACAATAAAAGACAGATTTAAAAAATGGCAAAGCATCGAGATAAATAATGAACAAATAAATGAAGCAAAACTGCAAAAAGTAGTCTGAGTCAAAACAACTGCTGGTTTCCTGAAACCCGCGGCTCCCACGGGAAGAAACATCTAAAATAACCAAAAATGACCCAAGTCTTACCAAAATTACGTGTGAAGGCCGGAAAGTAAACATTTCTCATTATTATCATTTCTAGATTCTTTTAATTTTATTAAATGTATTTTAAATTTACTATTTCTTGGATAAAAAATATTCTTATCATGTTAATAAAATCAGACTGTAAATGCTGCAAAAAGGAAAAATAAAGAAATGGACAACAAGGGAAGCTCCCATTGAAGTTGGACTGTTTAAAGATGTTAAGAATTCATCATCATCATGAATCATGGTCAAATGTTGATTTATTCTGTTCAAATAAAATGAAATGAGTCAAATATTCAATCGAAATTAGCGTTTAAATTTCAAGATTTACTAACAGTGTACTCTTATCATGTTAAAGAGTATAATATTAAAAACCATAAATTACTTACTTTTCAAGATTAACCTAGAAACATTTAATTTAATACTCTTCTGAATCTTATATTTAGAACCGAATAGTATGATTACTATAGACATTTATTAAAAAATACTTGTTTGGAAATTTTACTAGTTAAAGCAGCTACTACAACTTCAACAGATATAATTCCTTTTTAATCATCTACAATTGTCAATATATGCAAAAATATTTAAAATGAAAATCATTTGCATATATGGTGCATAGGGCCAAATTTAGATCATTTTAATCAATTAACTGTTTCAAAAGCCCTTTGATAGTTATTACTCCTCCCATTCTTAATATAAAATCTATTTAACTAATTTAATTATATTAAAAAAATTAGGTAAGTTAATTAATTATAAAAAATATAACATGTTTTTTCTAAAACACCATAATCATTTTTTTTAATATTCTACCTCTCTCTGTTACTTGATTATAATCAAGAAAGCATTTATAAGTATAATTTAAAAAAATTAATAAATATAATAAATAGGTTTTACGTTTAAAATCAAAACCAACTTAATAATTAGGTTTTATATTAAAAAATGAAAAACATTATTAATAATGCGTCAGTAATTGGGATGTGGGGACTGTAGGGACTGTGGGAAGAGGACAAAGAAAACGAGAAAAGATATGAAAAGGATGATATTGAGAGAGAAGGAAGAGACAGGAGGTGGTGGCGTAATCCTGTCTCGTAGATTTGCAAAGATCTTCCAGATTTGGATCCCCCGAATCTCTTTCCTTTTCTCTCAATCAAACCTCTACCTTCTCTTTCGTCTTTTATAAGCATCTCTTTCCTCTACCTTCTCATTTCATTTCATCTTCTCAGCCTAACAGTTCCATTCCTCATTTCCTCCTGCCAAGCACCCCTCTGAGGATCCGATATGACTATCGCCGGCGACATTTTCAGGCTCAATTTGCCTCAGGTTCTCGATGAATCCCCTTCCTGTTCTCAGGAGCTCCATGTTCTTGCCGTCGATGACAGTCACGTCGATCGTAAGGTCATCGAACGCCTGCTCAAAATTTCTTCTTGCAAAGGTAAGAAGAAAATCTAATTCCTTCGGCAGACGTTTCTATGTTTTATATGTGTTGGGTTTCGATTGGATTACGAAGCTGACTGGTTTTGGGAATCTGCAGTGACGGTTGTGGATAGTGGAACCAGAGCTTTGCAATACTTGGGATTAGATGGAGAGGAGAACTCCATTGGGTTTAATGTAAGGATAACTTATTTTGGAAGACAAGTTTACATTTACAACTTTATTAATAATTGCAATTGAGGCTTACCTTGTTATTTGATGGCTATGGTGGTGACAGACTGCAAAGGTTAATCTAATCATGACGGACTATTCCATGCCGGGGATGACAGGATATGAACTTCTTAAGAAGATCAAGGTTGGTAGTTGCTTTTACTTTCCATTAAGAGTTCCATTCTTTTCTGTTTGAAGTTCTAAAGAATCTTTTCAAATTGCAGTCGGAATGAAATTAACAGCTAACCTTTTACCCTTATCTTGTGTTATTTTCAGCAGGAGTCATCTATTTTTAGAGAGATTCCAGTGGTGATCATGTCTTCTGAGAACATTTTGACACGGATTGATAGGTATGCTCTCGAATTGATTAGTTGGAAGATATTCATTTTAGCTTGTCGCTTGAAACGAATTTCTTTATGTATTTGATTTCAATGGAAGATGTGCCTTGAGCAATTTTCGATCTAAAATTTGGATTGTAAGTGGGACTTTAGTAAATCAAATACATGTTTGACCCCCACGATCTCATGATCTCAGAAGCACGTCTCCAAGCATAACCTAACGTCTTTCTTTTAATTTGCATTTCTGGCTTCAATAATTGATGCATAATGAAATCCAGATTCTATTTGTCCAATGGACAACTCTATTTTACAAACGCTACTGGTGTTGGGGCCATTATTGTCATCATGATTGCCAAATTATGTGGAAGGATTGATGGATACTACTGTTCATTCGCATGTTATGTTTCTTACAGGCAATTTCAAATAATTAAGGAACTTGCTTTATGTCCTTTGTCAAACATTTTGGTGTGACCTGTTACATTTGACTATTTAACCACATTACGAGCACGCAACAGAAAATCTTTCTTGCCGGCATAATAATTTTGTTCAAGATTTTCCCTCTAACGATCCTTTGTGCTTCTGTTTGTCAGGTGTTTGGAGGAAGGAGCAGAGGAATTTCTATTAAAGCCAGTGAAGTTATCAGATGTTAAACGATTGACTGACTTCATCATGAGGGGTGAAATGGAGGGAAAGGAGAAAAGATCTCATAAAAAAAGGCGATTTGATGATCCAAGTTCGTCTCCTTCAACACTGACCTCATCGAAGTCTCATCCATGTGATTCGTCATCACCTCGACTGTCATCATTGTCCTCCAAGAGATCTATATTACTACCAGATTTTGAATAGGGCATTCTTTGTATCCATTTTCCGTACAAATTATATTCGTGTCTTGGAGCCTCTCATGTATACACTAACCATTAAAGATTGCTGATAGGTCCTAGAGTCACGATTTTTTGCCCCCATTAGCGGATTCTGCCTCTGTACAGATGAGATTTGTTAAAAAATCAATAAAAAGCCTCTATTGTTAATCAGTTCTGTTTCAATTCTTGCAACATTTTCGTCTATATATATTTTTGTGGTTGCGCCCGTTGAAGGTGGGGGCTTGTGCTGTTCGTTTCTGCAGCCTGTAACGTGATGTTATCATCATCTACTCCCGTGGAGACCTGGGTTCTTAAATTCCATTAGTAATCCTGTGTGTACTACCTCCTCCGCCATCATCCGAGCTTTTGGCTAGCATTCCAAGTTTTTGATGATTGTTTGCTGAGTTAAGCAGTAAAGGCTTGATTTCGATTGATAGGACAACCGATGAGGCGTTGCCTTTTAGGGATCCTCGAACAGCATTGGGTTTCTCACTTGCCGACCTATAGCATGAGTCCTGAGAGATCATCGTGTTCTATACGAGAAAGACAGGTGCAGGCTAGACAAGGTTGAAGCCACTGCAAGGGGATAAGGTTAACTGAAGTGAATGCAGATCATTTTAACTGGGGAGGATGGATAATTGATGGCCATTTCTTATATAAAATTCTGTTATGATTCGTTTAGACGGATTACAATGCGTCCAGAATATCTTTTCCATCCTGTATGTTCAAAAGAGAGTATAAAAATCTGAGTCCTTTTGGTTTGATAACTGAAGACATCCGAAGCGCTGAGAATCAAGCAAGAATGAAAGGAACCAGTGATGAAGAGCACAGAGGATTAGTTTGCTTCACTTCATGGCGGAAGCAGTGATTCAGTTCCCAGAAAGAGGACAGGCCCAACAAGAGCTTTGTCAAGAGGTTAATTTTTTTGTGAATGAATCAAATGGTGAAATGTTAAGACGATGGAATAAGGAAAGGATCCGAGCTCTCCATATGGGTCCCATCCGTCAAAAGCACGAACCTGGCAGAAGCAACAGGTTCAGGAAGCACTGGTGCATATTCGAAATCTATCTATTATTTCCATAAAAAATTTGCGCCACTCTGGGTTTCTGTCATGGAACTAATTACAGCTACCCGAAAAGGAAGTAGAATAACCCTAATGATTTGAAAATTCATGTTCGGAGCTGCCCCTATCCTAGCACTATATCTGTATATGCCTTCAACGAAAATACAAGGGGAAAAACTAGTACTATATGCTTCTAGAGTATCTACTTTTTGTTAAAAAAAAAAAAATGCATCAGGTTGTTAATATAATAACCACTTGGGAGCTGAATTTGATCTTAAATATAAAATTTCAATATATTTTGTCTCTTAAATTTGTAATTTTTTTTCTTCCAAAATATACTTATTGACTATAAAGGGTTCCGGTAGATAATTTATTTATTGAATTTATATTTGTTACAAATAAATAATTTAGTAAATTTTTTTAATCTCACTAAATTAAATAATTAATTATTTAGTTCTTATTAAGGAGTAAAACTAATAATTAGACCTACTCTTGCTTCCCTCTGGCATTTAAATTGGGCCACAGAGAATGATCAGTGACAGGGGGACTGAGACAGCCCAGAATTTTACGGGATGCAACAACGGGGAATTTTCTGCAATGGGCGAAACGCAGCGTGGAGGCAGAAAGTGGTAGCATTTTCCCGGAAAGAGCAAAGAAAAGGGGGTGGAGCCCCTAATAGCATAATAAAACGCGTTCAAAATAAACAAGGTCTCTGTGGTCTTCTTCTTGTACCGTGGCCTCGAAGAAAATAAAATGAAACAAAGGTCTACATTTCTAGGAAGCTGCCATGGAAGTTGCAGTACTGACGAAGACATATTTATGCCAAAGTCTTTAAATTTCCAATTCATTTTGCAAAAAAGCCATCTTTGTTGTTCCTTTAGGACAGATTTCTGTGATTTAATTTGCCAGAAAATTCCTCAACCCAAAAAACGAGTCCCTACGTTCAATCCGACATCATCCATTCATGCATATGAGCTCTCATGTATTTAAGCAGGCCTATTATTTAATTAGATGTTTCTCTCTGAAATCAACATAATTGATTTTTCCAAAACCAATCTAGCACAGTTCGAACTAAAATCAAGTAGTCCAACAAATTTGCATTATTTTTGTAACTGTATCAAGTAGTCCAGGGGAACAAACCGAGCTGTTTATCTAGTCTACCAAAAAAGATTTTATAATTAGTGCCAGGGATAGTGTAATTAATAAAAATAACCCGCCGCTGGGCTGTTTGCTTGGTTTCGCTTTCTGGCGTTTCCATTGGGGAGGACGTTTGTACCTTCCGCGAAGGGTGCTGCCTCAAGGGGGGACCCATTTTATTTATTATTTTTATTATTATTATTATTATTATTTGCCAAAACATAGGTATCGTTCTATTAGGGATAATTCTATTCGAGGTACTGTTAGGTACTAAATGTGGACACCTCTTTCAGTTTGAATTCGAACCTTGATTTATTACATTGTGAATGACTATCACCTTCCACTTGAGATCCATTTTTTTTATTTATTCATTCGTTTGATCTAATTTCTACTCTCAGTGGAAATGCTCTTTGAATTAGTTTTTCCAAAGTATTATAGAAATCAAAACAAAATATCTTACATAGTTATTTATACTGTAAAATTATTTCTAAAAACCTAATTCAAATACAGTCGTGGTCTTGCGGGATAAAAAAAGTAAAGAACTCGTATCCGTTTGTTGTTTTGATTCCCACCACTCCCCTTCGACCCCATTTCCCTCTATTTTTCACTTTAATCATGAGATTGCATTTTAGTTCATATTTTATAAAATTATAAATAAAATATTAAATTATTTTAAAAAATAAATAAAATTAAACTACTAAATTTTAGTCATTATAATTTAAGGAACAATAAAAAAATATTTCATAAAATTATTTTCTACTATATAACATCGGTTCAAATTGAACAATATTAGCTCTGTTTGATATTACAATTAAAATCACTTATAAGTATGTTTTATGTAAATTGAAATAAATTTTTTTTTTTCATAACTATTTTGTATTTTGTAAATTACACTTAAAAAAATTATTTATAAGTATTGGATCCAGTAACGATCAAGACAGACGGAAGGAAAATGGATGGAAAGGACAAGGGAGATGTCCAGGCCCCGGCTCCTGCTTTTGGAGTCAGCCCTGCTTGAGTCTTCGTCAACCTTATTCTAAGCCCAAACTATTCTCATCGATCGGCGCTGGCATCCATCGCCAGGTTCTTTTAAATATTTAGCTCCACCGTCGACCACTCACAAAGCAACACCACCTAATTTCATCTGTCTTTTGGTTCAGGAACCAGAGAAATGGCCAGCGAGAGACTTGGAGATGCGCTTGGCGTCAGGGAAGACCTTATCAATAAGGCATGTGAACGAGCCTTCAAGCCCCACAAAGACAAACCTTTCCTCTCCGAAAAGTATCGTTGTGGCACTTCTTCTGAACTCATCATCAGCTTCCCTCCATCCTGGTCTGCCTCTGATTGGTCCCATGATCAAACTTTCGGCGAAACCAAAATCGATCTCTCTCTCTTCCCCTCCCTCAGAAGCATCGGTAACGATGAACCTGCTCTGGTCAACCAAGCGACCCTCTCCAGATTCCAATCCTTATTACGCAATCCATCGTTCCTATCCGAGGTAATTCTAAGTTAAACCAAACGTTAATTGTTGGTTGGTTAGTTTTCTGGTAATTAACTGATCATCCCTTCCTATTTTTGGGAACTCACGAGTTGCTTACTTGAATCTGCAGGTGGAAAAGACTACGAAAAAAATAGTGTTCACTGGTCACTCCTCCGGTGGCCCAGTGGCGATGCTGGCGACACTTTGGAAATTAGAAAAAGACCGGCAACGGGAAAAAGACCGACAACGAGAAAAAAAGACCGACATTCCTCCTGCTGTCTGTGTGACTTTCGGATCTCCGTTGGTCGGGAACCACATATTCGCTCACGCCACGAACCGAGAAGACTGGTCTCGTCACTTCATCCACTTTGTCCTGAGATACGACATCGTTCCTCGAATCTCCCTAGCTCCGTTCTCGTCTGTGGAGCAAACCTTAGATCCAATTCTCCAGGTCCTGAGCCAGAAGAACAAACCATCATCACCGGACCCAATCAGGTACTCTGAGTTCTACAACACAGTGATGAAGAACGCAGCGACGGTGGCGAGCCATCGGGCTTGCACCCTCATGGGAAGCACCAACTTGCTGCTGGAAACGGTGAAGAATTTCGTCGTTTTGAGCCCGTACAGGCCGTTTGGGACTTTTGTGCTGTGCACGGGAAATGGGAGACTGATAGTGATGAAGAACTCAGAGGCTGTGCTTCAGGTGTTTTTTCACAGTGCTGTGCTGAGTGAAGAAGGAGAAGGAGATGAAGTGGCGAAAAAGAGGGTGTTGCAGCATTTGGAGTATGGGAGGGAAGCTGAAGATATCTTGGGGATGCAGGATGTGGTTTATTTGTATAAGCTTGAGGATGTTCCTTTGTCTAAAGATCATTGTTCTAATGATACTGCTGCTGCAAATATTGACACTGCCCTCACTGATCTTGGACTTGTAAGTCATAATTCCCTTCCTTTTCTCTTAACATGGTCTGTTTCTTTGTTGGTTGGTCTGATGATATATTCGCTTTTGCGACAGTGGAAATAATTACCCAGGAAAGCTTCAACTCAGAGCATATCTATTATCTAAGTGGAACAGAAATAGAAACAAGGAATTACTTCTTATATTATTAAAATAGAAAAGTGATCAGTCTTGCAGAGTCTCATTCATTCCAAGGGACTCTTTTTAGGAGTACATCAGTACATGACTGCAAAATATCTTAATTCATCAGATATTTTGATCCATTTCTATTACCGGACATAGATAGAAAAGATTTAATGAAGAGAAATAGCTAGTTATATGTGCCCCTATATTGTTTATCGATCTTTAATCATTGCCGACTCTGTGAGGTATTGAATGAGTTTTTCACATAGTTAGCGTTATATAGATTATTGAGAAACCTAGAGCTCCAAGTTCTAAACTAGACATAGCAATTTGCTAGAACATGTGAGAATACTGAACATTGCTTGCGTGGGATTTCAGGGAACAAGAGCGAGACTGTGTCTAAGAGCAGCAGGAGAGCTGGAGAAACAAAAGCAAAGAAACGAGGCAAAGATCGACAAGGAAAAAGCTCTAAACACAATGAGGCAACTGGAAGATTACAAGGAAGTGAGCAGAATGCAGGGGGTGGGATATTACGACGCGTTCAAGCTTCAAAAAGATTCAAAAGACTTCCAGGCAAATGTGAGGAGACTGGTGCTAGCAGGTGTGTGGGACGAGATCATCGAAATGCTGAAACGCTACGAACTGCCAGATGATTTCGAAGGCAAAAAGGACTGGATAGATATGGGAACCCAGTTTCGGCGATTGGTGGAGCCGCTGGACATAGCCAACTATTATCGTCACTTGAAGAATGAAGACACGGGACCATACATGAACAGGGCCAGGCCTAAACGATACAGGTATACACAGAGATGGATCGAACATAAAGACAACTTGGAGAGAGGGGCTAGCTCGGAGTCTTGCTTCTGGGCTGAGACGGAGGAGCTGGTGAGCAAAACCAACAAGGGAGTGTTTGATGGAGAATTGAAGAAGAGGGTTGAGAAGTTGGAAGAAGATCTCAATAGGTGGGATGCGAAGAACGATGAGATTCTGAAGGATGCCTTGTTGGAGGAGACGACATTTATGAAGTGGTGGAAGGGGACGCTGCCTAAGGAATACAAGGCTGGCAAATTTCAGCTCTAGGAGCCTGCTCTTCACTCATGTTTCAGTTTCAATCAAAATAATTTTGCGTGTCTCCAGTGTAGTGGTTGATATCCACAGCTTTGTTGTTTTCCACGATTGTCTTATGTATAATATGAATTATATAATGTTGTCCGAGTGGGTACATGCCAAAGTTAAATTCCTCAAAAGGTTTTTTAACTTGATCATTTAATTTCTAAGGTCACCTGACAACTTAAATTCATCTGGGATAAGAGCTCCAAATTGATTTCGGGAAACAGGCTTCTTTTGTTTGGGTTGGCTTATTTAAATATTTATAAACACGTTTTATATAAGTCACGATAAAATTATTAAAAAGCTGTTTGTAGAAGAGTATATGATCAAGAATGTGCGCTGCCCTTTTTAAAGGAAAACTTGTATTCTTACCTTTCTTCCTTCACATCCGCATACGTGTTCTGTAAAGTTAATGTTTTATCGTCACCATAACTTGTGTTTTCATATATTTTATGAATTTTTTTAAAAAAATTATGATACAAACTTGTTCTAAAAGTTTTTACTAAGGAGCATTGAATATCCTAAAGTTTCTTGGAAGTTACCCTAAAAATTTAAAATTGTAACAATATTGTCACTATTAAAAATATTAACGGTTAACATTGCTATTTTAAGAGTCAACGTAAGTGGAATGTCCGCTTGTGGAGGATTGATGCGAGATTGGAAGGGAGTATTTACGGGAGGCTTTATGTTTAATATCGGGCTGGGGAACGCCTCTCGAGTAGAAGCTTGGGGAGTGTTGACGGGCATGAAATACGTTTGGGACAGTGGTCACCGGCACGTTATAGTCGAATCAGATTGTCGAGACCTGCTAGATGCTATCATGTTGGGCACAGTCGAGGACCAAGACGACGAGGATCTTGTGCATGAAATCGTAGCGATGCAACGTTAGGATTGGAATGTACTATTTAGCTGGGTTTGTCGTGACATGAATGAAGCTGCTGATATCCTCGCGAAGGAAGCACTTCAATGTGTGCCTGGTTTATTCTGCTTTTCTGATATGCCGAATTGTGTGAGAGAGAAAGTTAGAGGTGAAGCTATGTTGGGAAGTCATTGATAGGATGGCCTGGTTTATATTTACAAAAAAAAAAAATTCAACGTAAGTATTTTAATAGTTAAAAACAATATTGTTCCGATTTTACACTTTTGAAACAAATTTACCCCAAAAGAATTTTTAAGTACATAGTGCTTTTGAATAGAAACTTTCAAAATAAATTTACACTTTAATCCTTTAAAAAATAAATTATACTATCCGTAACTCATAAACAAGGTCATAAGTTTCACATTTTATCTTAATATTGATCAATATTGGTTCCTGACATTTTATGATTCGTTATTATGATCCAAGAACAAAATTTTTACTTATAAGGAGCTGTTTAAAATAATTTATAAATAATTTTTTTAATTATAATTTACAGAATATAAAATAATTATATGAGAAGAGTTTTATCTTGATCTATGTAAAATTTGTCTATAAGCAATTTCAAACACTAATCCAAATAAAGTTTGAGTTAACTTATTTTAAGTAATTTTACACTGCATGAAGTATGTCTCGGAAAACGAGCTATTTTAACTGATCATGAACCTTACCAAACAAGCACAAGTCTCATTTATACGTCATGATTAGTTGAACTTGTGCAACCTAATAAAAATTAGATGTATGGATCTGTAAATTTAAATTGGATTTCCTAGAGAGTTCGTCAATTACATATATTCCTAGTATATTAAAGCAAGTTTATATCATAGTTTGAATAGAGATGGAGAGATTCACACTAAGGTGAAAGGATACGAGCTGCCAGAGAGGAAGACATCCTGAAAAATGAAAATCAATTCAAAATTAAAATACATGCAGGAATATAGCAGAAACTACTTCAGTTTTCTTGTAAAGAACTTCAGCTGTGGCTGAGAAATCCATCCAGAGACACCTTATACACTACAGCAAATGCATCCTTCATGCTAGTAGGGAACCTCAAGCGACAGAATGCAAAAATATGATCCTACACAGAAAACTGATCCATAATTCGAACCTTTGCAGATGGGCACAGCTTCATTACATCTTACCTACCTTCCCATTTCCAGAACCTTTGAATGAAAGTGCGGTAGCTCCTGTACACTCTGATCGAACTAATAAATCCCACCAAAATACACCATGAAACATGATAAATTAATAAATAAAGCTTATCATTAGTTTGAACCTGTTCACAGCATAACATCTTAGGAAAGAAACCCTCCTCAAGCTATTGATCAGTATTTACCATCGCGACATGAATCTGTGACCATAAAATAGATTAGTCGGTCATTTCCCTACACATCAGGTAGTTAATGCGACCACATAAGTATCATTAAGCTTATAATCATTAATCAATAAGAGATGGGCGCAAAATCCGTCATTATCAGCTAAATATTCTCCCAAAATTTGCTTAAGCTTCTATCATCCCCAAACCATTTCCAACCCAGAAAGAAAGGGATGGCCATATTCCATCCTATTCCAACAAAAACAATTTGGTACAGCGCATAAATAATGAAAAAATTGAAGAAAAATAGAAATTTTCTATGCAAACAAATTACTTATAATCAAGTTTAAATAAGTGAACTAACCTTGCAACACCACACCTAGGAACAATTCCAGGGGATATTAAATTAAAATAAATTGGATCAATAAGATAATAATCTTCTTTTGTCATTCAGTGTAATACACCTACATTGTTTCTCTAGTTTGACATGTTTTTCATTTCTCCATATCATAAACCATCCTGCCGAATTCACATATGAAGAGGAATTTGATAAGCTGCTACTTCTGTAATTATTTACGTAAAATACGCACACCAATTCCCTCTAGGTAAAGGATACAATTCGATAATAACAACTTTTTTTGTTGGGCATCCTTGTCAAAAGACAACATTGATAACGAAGGAACTGAACAATCAAACCAATCACGCCCATGGAAAATTCATCATAAATTATATACCCAATAAAATGACTAGTTCCCCCTCCATTTCACTTAAAAATCTTCGAATAAAACATATGTTATAACAGCACAAGAACTAATAACCATGAGAGGAAAAAAAAACTTAGTATCAGTCCCAGAAAATAATAGAAGCAATAATTTAAAATATATACAACCAGAACAAGAGGTAGCTAATATGTTTCACCATATATAGAAGCAGCAAGCATAAATCATTTATTGACGTGACTGACACTAGAGTGAGCTAACAAAAAGAAATGAGGCCGTGCCACAAAGAGATTTTCATACCTTAAGTCTTACATTTCTCATAACAGAAAGATCCTTTAGAAGTGTGCAGAAATTACTACTGGTCCATCTTTCAGGCGTTCAAATCACAGGAACAAGGATTTTCAAAGAAGCGGAGAAAAAGAAAAGCAGAAGTTGCAAAGAAGGAATATCATCAAAATCTAGAACAGCTTGCAAAGAAGAAAGGAACGGTGAATGCAATAAAATGAAATTCAAGGACAATTATGAGCTTGCCGAATTTAATATGATTATCAGCATGGAAGTATAAAGAGCTAAGAGTACAAAAATAACACATTATATGAAAAGAAGTCAAAACACAAGCAAAATAAACAACATGTGCAATAATTTTCAATTATTAAATTTCTATACCATATCATCTATTCACAAATCAACCTGAGTACTCTGCATAAACAAATGCACCACAAGATAACGACCATACTACTATTGAGAAATAGCTTGATTCCCTCGGGCACAAAATCCATACCTACAACAGCTAGACCTACGAAAATTAAATCTAAGATGCAACAACGAACTCTCTCTTTTAGGTCCTACAAATCATGCTACGCGAGCGCTCCAAACTAAAAGTCAGGCTGCCTCCATGGACGTTTGCCTCTGGCTCAACAGATTTGCAATCATAAGGCTTCCTGCACCCAGGACAGCGGCCATCCTGCTCAAGAATCCTCTTGTGACAGAAGAGGCAAAGCCGAAATCCACACAAGCAAGGTAAAAAACATGAATCTGTCAAGTCAAGATCCTCACAGCATATTGGGCAAGGAGATGGCGCAGCAGGGCGAGCCCATGGGATCCCTCCTCCACTACGAGAGGCTGGATTTGGTAAGCTATACTGCTTAGATAGATTAGGAAGACTCTGAGGACGAAAAGCATCATCAGGCCTCCAAGCTCTCCTATTGCCAGAGGCCCACGGAACGATTCTATCACTCTCGGTTTTAGAATTCCGTGCACCTAAATTCGACCCATGAGTCACTTCACGAGGCGAAACCATTTGCACAGCTGATTCATGAGCGGGAGGCAGCTCCGAACATGGATTTTGATGCTCGTCATCGGCGGCTAAAGCATCAGCCATAGCCTCCCAATCATCCAAGCAATCATCGTCGCCTTCTTCTTCCGTGACATTCCCAGAGCAGGACCCCGCACTGCTGCCGCTGCTGCTGCTACCAGTGAAATTTGTTCCTGAATCATTACTCCCCAACATGCTACTATCAAAACTGGAGGGACTATTGGATAGAGATTCAATGTAGCCATCTTGATGGAGCGATCCATCAATCTCTTCAGCTCTAGGACTCCTCTCCAATTTCTCCCATGAAACTTTGCCGTCTTCCCTAACAGGCATCGGAGGCGCGTGGCCATCGTCCCCTCCGTCCTTGCAATTCTTATTCTTGACCATAACTAATACCCATCCACGGATACATTGACAAAAGACTAAAATTAGGGAAAGAACATATCGATGGAAATATACGCATACGTAGAATATAAATGATGTCAAGGAAACATGAACAACGTTCCTACCTTGAGAAAGCCACTGCTCGCGACGGGCATCAATCTTACATTGCTTTAATTTAGCAGACCTGTTGGTCTGAAATCCCCGAAGCATTAGGAAGAGGAAAATAAAAACAGAGAAATGAATGCTTAAACTAAACAATCACAGTTACATTGAAATAAACACTGAAATCAATATCTTACCCTTTTTTTCTTGCCCAGATTCTTAGCGTTTGCAGCTGAAGGAATAGGAGCGGTGGTGATTGAATCAGAAACCATGGTTCGATAGCTTGATTAAAAATCGAAGAACAGCGACACGCAAAAACCCTAATTTGTGAACGAGACGGAACCCAGGGATAATATGCAAAGAGAGAGGTGATGTAAATGGATAACGGAATTTCCCCAGAATCGCTCGCCCTCTTCAGAAAGGAACCGACGAGGAGGTAGTGTTGGATTCTATATATAAAGTTCAATCCCTAAATTACCCCTGTACTTAACTCAAACTTCGAGTAATTGCGCTACATAAACGTGAAATTTCAATGAAGTTAGAGGGCGACAATATTGAAGCTCTAGAGAGGGCAGCACGCAGATATACGACGTCGTTAGGTTTCAGGTCAATTTTCCCCGTAATAACGATTATAATTAATGTATTTATTCATCGTTCGTGATTTAGGGGGGCATTTTTTCGTTAATCGTTATTGTAATTAATAATTTATGCAACAGCCTTATTAATAAAACACTCAGTACTATCAATTTGTCATTAATCGTATTGTTAGGGAAAATAACCAAAAAAAAAGACCTTAAAAATTAAAAAAAATTGCATACAGAAATTTTAATCTTGATTCAACACGGTGAGGAGGATTAACCCTGAATTGGAAGAACAATTTTGATTGGCTCTCATCATAAGTTTTGTAAGAGTCGTGTTTCTTTTTTTTCTTTTTTTTTGGTGAAAAGAGCGGTATGTTTTGTTCAAAACGTGTACGGCTCTCTGGACTCCCAATACATTATTATTGGATCTGGGCCTGGGTATGCAAAATGTTGGGCTTTATGAAATGATCTAAAGGAGTAGCCCATGAAGGAACCGTAAAAGGACGCGAGTCAATTTCGGTTTGCTTCTTCTTTTGGGTCAGCGAGATGCTCATTGTTTGTTCTTATCATCTTATGCCAATAACGTCAAAAGAAATCGCCTTTCGCAGAATATATTAGGTCTCCGGCGAATTTTTGCGTCCAACTTTCCTTCTTTGTCTGTCTGTCTTCTGGATCTATGCCTGAAAGTTGCAGAGTCCCAGTTATGCGAGTCGTTATTCGTTAATAAAACTTGCAATTATCCGGTGAGCTCTGGCATGAAAGTGAATTCATGTAAAACGCGAGTGCATTTCTCAGAGAATGTTCACAATAACAGGCAGGAAGAGAAGAGCATGGCACTGGAATCGTGGACTTGGGAAAGTATCTGGGAGTCCCACCATGCGGACAAAGGCTATGAAGTTAAAAAGAGACTGCCAGAGAAAGAAGTATGCAAAAGCAAGAAGCAAGGTCCCGTAAGCTTCACAAGTGTCATAGGATCTATAAGTTTAATGGGCTCTCCTACCTATTAGGCTAGTTTTTTGGGATTGGACTTTTCTTTTAGACTTATACTGATCATATCAGTGCTTTTATTGAGAGTTAGCCAATCAGAGAGGGCTATTTGAAGACGGTTTTGACTGATAAGAAGACCGAGTAAAATGCCATAGGGTGGAATTAAAGACATTGGCTCTCGAGAAAGGTATTCTATTATGAGAACCACATTGGAAAGTTTCACAAGTATTGTAGGGTTTATAAATTCAACAAGTTCTCTCTTCTAATAGGTCAATCTTTTGTGTCTAGATATTCTCTTTTTGGCTCATGCTCATCCCACATGCTAAGGCCCTAAAGCCATGCACATGTGATGAAGTTGGGATGGAATCTCATAAAGAAACCAGATGACTTTTCGGTTAAAGTAGTTCAAGAAAAATACAAACGGGGGCAACAACCTCATTCCTAGTATCTAGCAAGAATGCCAAAAAAAAAAATCATTAGTGATGGAATTTCATCGCTAAACTGATTTATCGACGGAATTTTACTGTTAATTTGTCTTCTGTTTTTTTCCGTAGTAAATGAACTGTAGAAATGGGAGATTGACCAAGGGATTCAATGGAAAGGAGTTCTGAGACGCTGCAAGTCTTTCATGTGCTAGGTGCCCCAGTCATATTGAGAATATTCTTCCATGTATGTGCTTCGCGAACCTTGGCATGAAATGCGATAAACGTCGTATGTTCTCCAACATACATGGACTTAATCAATCAGATGGTTGGGATGGAACTTGCACTTGTCTAGGAATAAAATTGAAGCATCCTAAGTGCAGCTCCCTCTTTACGGTAACCAGCTGGTCTGGTATGATTGGAAACTTAGAAACACAAGTATCTTTAGAGGGAAAGCAAACCACTATAATGAAACTGTTTGAGACCTGATCTTTTACAATTCTGAATACAGCTTGGTGCCAAGTTTGGAAAAACACAGCCGGGATCAATTGGAATGGGCAAGTGCATCACCAGGACAAAGGCACAAAAACTAGCTGGATGGATGCCTTGGTCAATGTGCATCTTGCCAAAATATTTCCAGCTCAGGAATTTTTAACTCACGGACTTACGGATATTTGACCATTTACTTGAACGATCTTATAAAAAGAGAAAAAACCTGATTCAAAACTAGAAGGACAGATAAATTATTTTTTTTTCTTAATAAAGATACCATATATAGGTAGACTATCTAGTCTTGATTGTACCTTTCTTTTACATGTCGACTGGAAAAAAAAACAGATATTTTTATTATCAGTGGATAAAATTTCAGGTTGAGATCCCCTTTTTTTCCCCTGAAAAAAAAAAGAAAAAACAAAAAGGAGTCCAAAGCAAGACCGGAATGGTATATATCGTACGCATGGATGCTTCCATGTATTATAATTTCAGCCCCTTGCACCGGCCAATATACCATTTAGGGCGAGACACGTGTATCCATGGCATGACATGTAGGAATCTCACCATATACACAAAATAAAATAAAATAAAAGGACAAATGAGCGACAATTATATTATATGGCGTGTGCTTTTGAGGTCCATCATACTCCAATACTCGATGCCATGATGACTTGTAATCGCATCCACTATGCACTCCATTCTTTCTTTAATTTCAAGTTTTTAATAATATACCTCCATCCTAATTATAATAACTAGTTGAGTAATTTGAAGAAGTTAAATTAGTTATTTGTATACGTTGTCTTTCTTAAAACATTCTTACTAATTAAATGTATTAGCTATAACCACTATTGTTAGAAGGACTATCTTGAAAAAAAATGCATCAATATAAGAGACAAAGTAGACTGGGGTCTTATATTTAGGACCAAAATAAAAGTTAAACAATGTCTTATATTAAAGACCGGAAGTAGTATAAGATTTCATTTGACTTTTATTTTAGTCCTAATTATAAGATCCAATCCACTTTGTCTCTCATATTTATATATATTTCAAAATAGTCCCTCTAATAATGACAGTTCTGACCAATAAACTTAATTAGCAAGGATATTTTAGAAAAAACAACACCTATTTATTACAAATAACTAACTTAACTTGTTTTCTTAATCTCCTCAAATTAGTCAACATCTCTTATAATTAGGATCGGATGTACTATTTATGATAAGGAACCCAATAACAATGGCCTGACTTTAATATTTCGTAAAAGATGTGGTATAAAATTAAATAGAAGCAATATGATCCCTACCATTAAAACAGAGCAAACCCCATTAACTAATGTTATATGGGGCTTACCCACACACCTATACTTGCTTTTAACAATGGAGGTGACGTTGCAATGTTTTTGAAGCTGGAGGATAAAATCATACTCG